CACTTCTGGGTCCGAGAAGTAGAGCTCGCGATGGACGCGGCTCTGATCTCGACCGAGCAACTGCGTGTTGCTTTTGCACTCTCCAACCTTAGCGGTCGTGCTAAGAGTTGGGTGTACACTCGGGAAGCGACATCCCCTGGATGTTTCACATCCTGGGCTCAGCTGTGCGAACAGCTCCGAGCCGCGTTCCTCCCGGCGAACTACGAGTACCGCCAGCGTTCGCGCTTCCTCGCGTGTAAACAAGGAAGACGCGAACTGCACGAGTATGTGCAAGAGATACGGGAGCTCACGGCGTCCCTAGTGACGGTGATAGCGACAGTGAGGACGAGATTGGAGACTTGTGTCGCCTGTTTATTCTAAAGGGCGAGTCGGGATCCGGTAAATCTGCTGCTGTCTATGCTTGTGCTGAGGAACTTGGCTACGAAATTATCGAGATCAACGCGGCTCAGAATCGATGTGGAAAGAGTGTCGTTGAGCTTTGTGGTGAAGCTACACAGTCCACTCGAGTGCTCCACATAGGCGGCAAGGACGATAAGTGCAAGAAGAAGCACAAGAAGAAACGCAGACGACAGTCTGAGGGGCGTAAAAGCTTGGAGAAGCCCACAGCAGCGTCGTTATCGCTTGTGCTGTTTGAGGATGTGGACCTGGTTTTCGACGATGACAAGGGATTTCTCAATGCTGTGTGCTCGATTGCCAAACATTCCAAGTGTCCCATTGTTGTAACTTGTGCGCAACTGCCCGATGCCTTCCCCTTAAAACCTGGACGACTGTGTCGTGAGCTCCACAAGCCTTCAATGGACGAGTTCACCACTTGGATGCGTCTCGTGGCTTTCATTGAAGGGCTGCAGTTGGACCCGTCTCTCATTAATGCTCTGGGTGAATTCTTTGAGCGGGATGTGAGACGCTCACTGCATTTTCTAGAGGTGAATCTGGCAGTGTCGGATGCAAGAACGAAGACTCAGTGGCGGTGGCAGCACAGCGCTGATAACATCGAAGAAGATACGACCCCGCACGTTCATTTCCCTGCTTGGACTGTGTGGTCCACTGGAGACACATCATTCGATGCGCTAACGAGCAACTTGCTGGCAGAACTTGCAGCTGGTGACGCGGAGGCCAAGAAACCAGAGGATAAAACCCGCGAAGAAAAGTTGAAGGATATTGACGCAGTGTCCGAGTTAGCTCAGATCATGGACTCTGCTTCAGTTGCGGATACTTGGATGACATCTACTGACGATGAGAACGAGGTACGGCCAGGTTTTTAAGCTACTTGTTGACTGGTGGCTTGATGAGTTTTTTTTTCCTTTTAACAGAATTCCTTCTTCCTCTGTGAGCGCCAACGTCTTGCTGCTTTGGAGTTGAGACGCTCCAGTCTTTACATGTTAAGCGCGAGTTCTCTTGGCGCGTCATTGAAGCGAGACCAAGGATCTTCCGCTTCTGAATGCGTTCAACGGACATTGGACAGTGCCCTGGAGGCCACACGTCGACGTTCTCATCAAGCAGATTTGGCGCAGCTGAAGTTGAAGTTCGAGCTGCCACTGGCCTACAAAGGGTACGTTATTCAACTGCAGTTGTATCACCTCATGCTCATTTGAATCTGATGCAGCTGTGGAAACTCGGATCCGCGGTTTACACTCGACTACATGCCAATGGTGGGGCGTCTGCTGTCTGGCACTGGCTTGCAAGAAGGTCGTCGACGGACATCCAGGCGCAATCACTATTTAGGCGACGTGTTGGGGGACATGAGCGTCATCGACGAGCTGCCAGCCTTTAACACCTACTTACAGCTAGACGAGGACCAGATCATCGCTGCGTCTCCGGCGTCCACGCAGTGATAGACGAAAGTACAGTACCCTGTAACTTTGTAATCATCAAGAACTCTTCCATTCCCTCTCTCGCTCTACTCGATCTTTTCTGTAGACCTGACTGCCCTTCTATCTATTCCGTTGTCTTCTTGACCTTAGCCGCCACTCGCTTGGGGCCTTTGCCGACTGCATCCTTAGTCGGTACATCCACCTTAGTCGTAACGATCTGGCTCAGAGACGCATGGAACGACGCGTGGTTCACCGCCGTCACCTGCAAGCAGAGTCCACTTAGCCACGTCGCCTCGTTTTCATCATTCCACGACTAATTTTTGTAGCCTTACCACAGTGCTGTATTTCTTCTTGTGCTTGTTGTTGCCGTACTTACAGGCACGGAACAGCAGCACGTGCTCTCCGTCCTCCACCGTGAGCTTAAGGATTTTCTGCTGAGCTTTGTTGTTCACCTTGGCCACAGGAACTGGATCGAAGCAGTACTAAACGTCAGAATGCAGCACCTAGATGGGGGTTATCGCTGTTAATCTCCACAAACTACGCACCACTTTTGCAGGAGATGGCAACTGATCCCTTGGAGCCCTGCGCCTCAGCGTAGAACTCCGTCACCTTGGCCAGGAACGTGTCCGTACTTACTAGTACCATTTTCAAAGGAAAATTGATGCGAAGTGTCAAAATTGATATATAATTTGAGAGGGAGGTTACTATCTTTCAAACACATGTACTTTGTTGACCTGCCTGCCTTTGTTGCCTCGCTACTACCGTATTTGAGATCTCCTACTTCAGAGTGATCTCCTAATTCAGACTGCCCTCCAACCAATCACATATCGAGAATGGAACAGCGCACAAGTCTAGATCTCCTAATTCAGAGTACAAAAAACATGCTAAACTGTAACTATCCACCAGCTCATTGCCAGAAATTTGCAATGGCGCGCACTCCGCTCGGCCAACGGAAAGGGAGAACCCGTATTTCTGGCACTGGCAAGCCTCCCAAGAAGTTCAAGCGCGTTGCCATTTCATACGCCTACAAGCTGATTGGGAGCTGCTACGACGGTTGCTGGAAGAAGTGCCCGTAGTGCGCCATGCTGTGGATACGCGTCACGACATTGAAAACTTCGTAGTTCCCGAAGAAGAACTTGATAACTAAATTGTTTTGTTTAAATAATACGTGATAGAGATGCGTCGGTACGTGTACAGATCTTGTGCATTTTGCAACAATACAACTTCAAAAATATTGGGTCTGAAGTAGGAGATCTCAAATACGGTACATATGTACTGGTACTTGCATTACTCAACCATCGCAATATCGACAATATCGCCTGGATGGAAGCGCACACTCGCGAGCGTCTTGGCGTCGTCAACGCATCGACGACGACTACTGTTGACGTAGCCCACCTTCCTAATCAGCACTCTGCAGCAACGAGTGATTAGTCACGACGCTGACAGAAACATTAACCCATTGCAGCAATGATGCGGCCTCACCTTCCATCTCTTGTCTCCGATACAACGCAGATGCTCAGACGCATGTTGGCCTTCCGGGCGTCGGTGTTCGAATCTTGCACCAGGTCTGCTATCTCCCGCAGCGTCGCGTCCGGCCTGTACCAAAAGCCAAACCAGCAGCTCAGCCCACGAGTATAATAGCGATCGATATTTTTATATTTGAGTAGCTTACCACGTGTAAATGTGCAGCTCATTGGCTATGGGCTTGTCGTCAAGCGCTTCGAACGCATCCGCTCTGTATCGACAGGCAGTTCATTGCAACCGCGATCAGTTCCTCGCGCCAATTCACAACCTGATGTCACGCAGAGATATGCGAGCGCCCTGCCTGTTGTGAACACCCCTACTGAAGAAGACTCGGAGCAGGAATGGACAATGTTTCTCGCGGTCAATGACGCGCTCCTCTGGCATGGCGCAAAGAAGTAAAAGTGCATTCGTATTTAACCGGAAAGTAGCTCTTCCCGCTCAAGTATCGATTTTTGAGCCAATCGTAAGTTAAACAGGAGACACTATTGGGAGGTGGAGCGAGAAGCAAAATGGCGGCGCGCAATGTGGTTCGTTTCTTAAAGTCGGCCAAGGTGTCCTTCTCCAGCTTCGACCGGCGGGCAACTGGTGCATGGTGAGTAATAGCTGCAGCAGTCCAATCTTTTTGTTTAAGGTCTCCTACGGCGGCGACTAACGTCTGACGGCTATGAATGTCCCCAGCGAATTCTACCGACAGTTGACGGCGGAGAAGGTGAGCGCTGCGGAAGGTGATGCAAATGGACAACATATTTTCTAACTAGTATGTGTACTAATAAAAGACACGCAAAGTGAACCCCAAGGCGGAGATCGCGCATCAGACGTCGCTGGCCGGCATTCTGCCCACAATCAAGCTCGACTTCAGTACGTTGTCAACAGAACAGCCCGAGGAGAATGGAGAGCGAGGTGTCTAACCATTTTGTTGTGGATTTCATCTTTATGCGTGGTGCAGTCAGCGGTAGCAAGCATGTGATGGAGGTGCCCGACAAGAACGTGCGCGAGATCTTCGAGGAGGTCGATTTTCACTGCTCTCAGATTGAAACAGAGTACGAGAATCAGGGTAAGACCATCGAATAGACTGTCGGGAGACTGGACTAAGTGCAATGGTAGACAGACTCACGCTGCTCGCAAGTAACAGGCAATACATACAGGCGAGCAGATGAGTTTAAAATCATAAAAGCACTTGTTGGGTCGGATGCTGTTTGATTGAGCAATACGAAGTAGTACTTGAAGTAAATAGCTTGATGCGGTTACTGCGGATCCACGAGCGCGATTTCTACCTGCACTTCCTCGTTAAATTTGGGTTGCGAGGTGTATAGATTCAGAGTCTTGGCGCGTTCCAAAGAAAACCTCAGCAGGTGCTCTCTACACGCGCGACTTGAGCCTAAACAAGCACACATCATACACATTGTTACAGTGAGATGCACGACAAAAGTCTGGCGCGTAACTGATGTGCTCGTGTAAGTACCGCATACGCGAGCCACTCGGAGACTGACGTCTTGGTTGTGCACGTCCTTCACGAACAGTAGCGACGTCTCAACCATTTTGCACATTTCACGTGCGCATCGAATAGCTGCAATTCTGGTATGTGTATTGTAGTACAGCACTGCAACATAAAAACCCACAGTCAGCGTCGTATTCAACGTTGCCCTGTCGGTGTCTACCTTGGAACGCGTACTGGGACAGCCCGGAACCGAAATCCCCGTAGCTCTTGGTAACGGACTCGCGAATAAGCGCTGTAATGTCTTCCTTCTTGACCGCCGGTTTACGGGCGCCAGTGGCCTCCACCACCAAGTAGCGCGTCTTGAGGCGCACCATAAATGGCTACAGTGCTCTCCAAAAACGTGATATTTGACCATTGAAACTTTACTTTTCCACCAACCGATAAAAGCAATTGAAAATTCGACCGTTGAATACGATCGACATGAGCAGCTCCAGTGACATCGCGGTGCCTGGCCAACACCTGGCCGCAGTGGACAGCAAGCTCAAGGCTGGTACCGGAACCTACGTACGCGATAATGTCATCTTCGCATCTATCTATGGCAAGTGGCGCGTCTCGCAGGACGTCGTAGAGGTGACGCGGGCCAATAAGACAGTGGCGTCGGCGCAAGTGCTGCGTCTTGGCGACATTGTCATCTGCCGCGTGGTAAAGATCACGTCTCGACAAGTGATGGTTGACATTCTGTGCGTGGGTGAAACTGTGCTAAAGGAGGTCTTCCCGGGAACTATCAGGTTGGAGGACGTGCGGAACCACGACATCGACAAGCTTGTGATGGACGAGGTCTTCTCCCCTGGAATGCTCGTGAAAGCGACCGTGCTTTCATTCGGTGACACTCGCTCCTACTACCTCTCTACAGCAAAGCCAGGACTCGGTGTCGTACGTCAGCCTACAAAGCAAGATAGCCAGGCGACCGACATGGAAACAGATTAGAAGCGAAGGAATGTATTCGAAAAGGCGTCGGGTGGATGACTGCGGCTCGTAATGCAAGCAATAAACGTGTTTTCCACTGTGACTTTCGCATATATATCGGAAGCGCAATCGATTGCCTGTGCTATCAAGATGATGCTGGTGTTCCCAGTTAATCGTCGTCCTCGTCTTCCGATCCCTCCTCCTCGATGATCTCGAAACGTGTGAAAGGCTTCTCAGATGACCTACTCCGTTCATATTGTTGGTTCTGTTGACTTGATTTCTCTTTTTCCTCTTCATCTTCAATAATCTCGAAACGCTTGAACGGCTTCTCGTCTGCCTCGTGGTTAGTAGGCGATACCTGGTTACTGAATTTAACGCCATTGACTTCCCCGTGCTTTTCTTTTGCTGCTTTCATCAGTTTTGTCACCTCTCGATTATCAGGATCAAGTCGCAGCGCCTCTTCAAAATCCTGTACCGACTCGGCGTACTTACCTCTACGGTACCGCGTCATGCCACGACGACTCCACCCCTTCATGTATGTCGGATCGAGCAGGATGGCGCGTGCGCAATCGTCTTCAGCAGCAGCAAAGTTCTTCGTTTTTAGGTATACAAGTGCACGATTAGCGTAGAGAATTGCATCGGTGTCGTCGTAAGCCATACTGCGCGTGTAGTGTAGCAATGCCACCTCTAGTTCGTTTGCCTTGAAGCAGTCGTTACCTTTTTGCTTCTCGTATCCAGCATACATTTTTCGGGTTTCCGGCTGGAGCTTGTCTAAGTCCACTGACTTGGAGAGAGACTCAAATTCTCTCTTTCGAGATGCTGCGCGCTTCTCCTGCTCTTCTTGCTGCTTTCTCGCTTGATCCCGCGCCCGTTCGCCCTCGTGATCGATCTCTTCCAGCGCCTTGTCAACGTCATACTTTTCCCAGGATCTGAAATCATACGCTGGAATTGCATTTTTCGCCATCTTCTGCTCATCCTTCTCTACATTAGCCAATTTCGCTGGAGCTCGAGCCAGATCTGATCGCATTTCTATGGATGATTTCCGTCCTCGGACAGGGGGCAGTTCTCGCTTGAACGGTGTCTGTTTCTTTAGTGCCTCGTTCTTCACATTCATTGCAACCGCCCAGTTGGCCAGCGCGTCAATCTCGGTGGTCAACTCGTTGTCTGTCGGCCCTGAGCGCATACGCAAGATTTTAGTTCGTTCTCGTTCAGGAAACACAGCCAGAATGCGGTCCTCTGTGGCCTTTTCCAGGTCTGGATAGCGGCCTTCCTTTCCGGATCGGAGCACCGCCAAGATCCCCTTGAGCTCGTCCACATCGGTGCAACGCTCCACGAAGCTGTAGTCCAGCATCTCCACATCGATGGTCTTGGGCTTACGTGTGTGCAGCGAGAAGAAATCGGGCTTAGACGCGGTGGCGATCGTCATCTTTAGTGGCGAAATGCGGATCTGTTGCGTCTCTTCAAGATCGGGAGTGATGGTCATTCGGGTGAAGTTATTTATAGGCGTCTGGTGCAGACACTTCTTGAAGTAGAGGGGAAACTCCAGGAAGCATGGCGACGGCGGACGCTCGTGCCGGTACTGGAGGCAACAGTGCAAACGCAAACATGGCGCCACCTGCTCCGACCCCCGCTGCGTCAATTGTGACTCGCTCGGAACATGGACGGACGTCCAGGCCCGAAGAAAACGGACTCATGTCGGATGAAGATGTGCGTCGTAATGTCAGTTTTAGAACACTGTGATTGCCTCACTTTGCTGATGGCTACGCGTAGTTTTACGATGCACAGGAAGACTTAGCAGCAGACGCTTCACGACAAGCATCAGCCGGTGTGATTTTACTAAAACCTTTTCAGTGGCTTAGTAATATGAACTAGACTCTATTCGATGCTGAATTCGTAGCTGCAATCGCAATAGCCAACCAGCAATCACGAGATCCAGAGCTTGAGAATAAGAGCATTGGCCCAGATGACAGTAAATATATCGTCAAGAACAAAGACACAGGAGAAGTCTTCGATATCCGAGATCTGGCCAGCATGCCAGCGGACTCTTACTCCATTTTCCCAAATGACTTTGTAGCTCCACAAGAAGAAGAGGTGCGTACTTACTGTGACCATTAACCGGAAGTAATGCTGAGTGCATTCTGAGTAGGCCAAGCGAACCAAGACCAGACGACCTTCAATTACCAAAATCATGTCTAAGTTTCCAATGAAGTCCAAAGCGAAAGAGCCTATCAAACGGAATCATGTCCCGGTACTACTTCGAATAGCCTTTTGTGTATCAATTACTGCGTATTGACCAGACGTACTTTAATCATGTCGTCAGGTGACATCATGCAAGAAAGAGAAACGCGACCTCGAAGACTTGTGCTTAGCACAGACATTGTCGAAGCACACTGGCACGATTTGGACGATGAAATTTAGTCACGACGGCGCTCGATTGGTGTCTGGAGGACAAGACGCCATCTTACGTGTCTGGAAAGTTCAAATTAGTTCCGAGGAAGACGCAAAAGTGGCAAGAGAGAGCGACGAAAAACGCATTCTCGACGCTGAACCAGAAAGGTCCTACCAGGTAAGTCGATAAAATGATAGGTTGGCGTCCGAGTAAACTGACAACTCGCTATCATAACCGTAGGGACACACGATGCCAATTGTTGATGTATCGTGGAGTCGCAGCAACTTCATCTTGTCTGCATCGATGGATAAGGTTGAATTCCTAACCATCCTATGACTATGAAGGTTTACTAACGGTAACCTTACGTTTCGTTCAGACGGTTCGTCTGTGGCACATTTCGCGTGAAGACTGCTTGCACGTATTTCACCACCCAGATAGTGTCCCCGCCGTAGATTTCCATCCAAAGGTTTGCAAAGTCTCTACCGATTGGACGCTAGTTTGGTATAACATTTCGTGTTTGAGTATCGCAGGAGGACCGATATTTCCTATCCGGGTGCTTCGATAATAAAGCGCGTGTTTGGGACATTCCAGACGGCTGTGTGGTGTCCTACGTTCAGACACCAGTGATGATCACTGCCGCCAGCTTTAACCCAAGTGGAACACGCGCCATTGTTGGTTTGCTGAACGGCCAATGCATCTTTTACCAAGTCAATTCGCACCAACAGATGAATTATTATACTCAAATTGAGTGCCGAAACAGTCGCGGATCGATGAGAAAGGGAAGGAAAGTCACGGGTATCGAGTTTGACCCAGAAGGAAAATATTTCCTGGTCAGCACGAACGATTCTCGCATGAGACTCTTCTCGGTCGACAACTATTCGCGAATATGCAAGTACAAGGGTCTCGTCAATGGACATCTCCAAATCAAAGGAAGATTCAGGTGCGAGCTGCTTGATATTGTACGCATTACATTTTGCGTACTCTAATGCCATTGTGCCTTCTACAGCCAAGACGGAGACTTTGTGATATGTGGATCCGAGAACGGCTACGTCTACGTTTGGAACAAAGCAAGGTTTGTATTGTGAGCACTGCGGTCACTGTATGTTGTCACTTTTTATACCTCCCTGGCTTAATCAGGTACCTTCGATCAATGAGCATCGTGAAGAGCAGCAAGCAAGATCGCAATTCCTCGTACGAATTCTTTACAGGTACAGACAGCAGAAGGTTGTATTTGTCGTGTTGCTAACTACCATCGTTGCCACGACTCTGCAGCTGCTGAACCTCCCAACGGCATTGTGACGGTCGCTTTGTTTGCCCCTGCTAGTACTTTCGCTATGGTTAAGTCAAAGCTCGAAGCAAGTGACGATGTGAACACTAACGCATGCACGGGATTGATTGTAAGCGCGAGCTACGACGGATGCATAAAGTTTTTCGAACGGTCTGCGAAAAGCGTGTGAATGGGGAATAGCATCAGCTGTTAGCTGTTAGTAGACTCGAGCTCAAACAAATATGGCAGATCAATAGAACACAAGGGTATAAAAAGATTTGGGTATATTTCCGATACTGCGGAGCTACGTACGTCAACAACGAGGAATATCAGATTTTACAGTATACATACTGTACCGAACTTTGTACTGCAGACAACTCCGGCTACCGGTATAGTGGCTCTTCCAAATTTTGCATTCTAAAATTAAGTCAAATCTGCTATAAGACTATAAGAGTATAAGAGAGGCTCTTGATCATGGCAAAGTGGCACATTATAAGAAAAGAACATGCCACATGGCTTACTTCCAAGTAGTAAAACAAAGGTCTACTCGCGTGAACACCTCCTGTGACGGGGTTACAAAGCACATTGCGCTAGAGGAAGTTGGCTTCCGAGAGTATACAAATTCTCAGTGAACAGTAGTTCACAGGTCCCTTTTTACTTAAGGGAGCGAAGTGACCAATTTAAGGTAAGTTGTAAGCTAAATATATTTATAGGTAGGCTAAACTTGAGTTAAATCTACAAACTTCTAGAAAAGCTATGTCATCAGCCAATGGTTGGCCTCTGACGAACCTGGTACCATGTACCAGATATCTTGAAGTGTGACGTGTCACACTTCATGTAACTAGGGATACACTTGGGGATACGTACCCCGTTACATCTTCCCCCACTTAGATTCGGTTTACCGACCAATCAGAATGAAGAGGTGTTCGTCACAAACTCTCATTCTCAAAGTCGAAAACCATCGACTTGGCCACGCGAGCGCGGCGAAGGCTCACTTCACAGTTAGAACCTCGAGCAGCAACCTGTGCGCTCTTCGTCTAGGTCTCCACTTCGACCGTTATCATACCTCGTGGCACTGCAAAGAGCGGTGCTAAGACACGCTCCAAGGCTGCTGCCGGTAAGGCGCAAGCCAAGAGCACTAAGCCTCACGGCAAAGGCTCTGCACTCAAGGTGCAGCGGGGCTGCCGTAGCTTTAGCGTCAGAGGAAGACGTTCGACTCAAGGAGTCACTAATACTAAGTTCCTTATCCAAAGGAGCTTACAGCCCAAGACCAGTGTTCAAAGTTAATACCTTAACTTTTATGCTTCAAAACCAGAAGTGTTTTATTTACTATTATTGCGGCCAAGCCGCCTAGGGGTAAATGTATCTCTTTAACTATCTAGCATAGTTAAACCTAATCAAATGCATAACGTGTGGCTTTCAGCCAACGTACTGAGAGACCTTGTTAGCTCTCCAACTTATGTACTGAGAGTTTGCTAACTCTCCGGGTACTTCGTACCCCTGTGTGTTCCACACCATGTAACCCCGTTACACTCTCCCTCACTAAGATGAGAACATACCGTTCTCGAACTTTCCTCAGCGAGGTCACGTCTTGTCAAGACGACGGAGGTCACTAGACCTCACCTCTGCGTTCTGCAGCTCCACGAGCTCACAAACGCGTTCGCATCCTTGATGCCTGGCACTTCCACTCCGGCCCACGGCCCAACGTCTCCAGCGCGTCGCGCCGCCCCTGCCTCGTCGGTCCCAGACCCCCAACTCCGCTCCGCAACTGCTCCAAGAGCATCTTCGTCTCTTTCGGTGGCACAGTACCACCAAGAGTATCGCCGTCGCAACGGTCAACGCTCCATGAGCCGTCAACAAGAAGAGAGCAAAGCTCAAAGCTCGTCAGAGCCGCGGGCGCCGCCCAGAGGGAACGATGTTCTGTTCTCGGAACTCGAAGAGGGCGAAGTCGATTACGACGAGCCCATGGGTAGTGAGGATCACTCCAACCCAACCTCTCCGAGGTCGCACACTGGTGCCGCGTCTTCCCCAGCTTCCTCTGTGAGGTCTAGCCGCTCAACGGCGCAATCTCAAACAAGAAGAGACCTGCGGACACCGCATCCGTTCTCTGAACGTTCGAATCCGTTTCGCTCGCTGCGCGATGCGCCACCGCTATCGTCGCGGTATGACGAGGAAGATCGATACGATCACAACGTCATTACGAATGACCTGGACGAGGCCCAAGGCCGTCAGTTGTCCAATGAGCAGCGCTCGCAGTCGTTCCGACCTGTGGTCCGACCACTTGTTCTAACGTCACGCCGTGACTACGGCTTCCAGCCGCGGAACCCTGCCGAAGCGGCCCGCCTCGCGGCGCAGCAGCCGCTGAACACGTACACGTGTGGGCCTGCGGCCTCGACTGCTGATGAGCAAGTGCAACGGCACCGGCTCCGAGAGCGATATCTGACTCCACAAGTCACAACTCCTCAGGAGTATCAGGCGCGCCTGCAGATGCAGCTCAACCGCCAACCGGTTCCCTCCATGCGAACCATTCCGGTTGTTCTCAACCCTGGGGAATCCCAGCGTGCTTATGAAGCACAATTCCGAAGCTGGGTGGAGGGAGCTCGACGGCTCCCCTCCTACAATGCTCTTCGAGCAAGTTTCTCTGAAACTGATATTCGTCTTGAGAGACGTTTGCGCTTAGACTTCGCTAAGTCGAAAGCACGTCGACGAACACTGGGACCCCGTCCCCATCACCTCGAGGCGTCACCACCTCTTGCTCATGCTGCGAGCACCGCTCTTTCCTATGAGCCGGCTGCTCCAGCCACTGGTCGGAGCTTGAGCTCAGCCACCGACCTGTCATCCCCGCGTTCTAGCGGCGGGAAGCGCTCGGCGCCTGACGACGCGGTCGCCGTAGCGGCGGGGCAGTGAGTGTGCCCGATCAAAAGCGTCGACGACGTCAGGGCAGTCCTGCCGTAGGACAACCTCAAACTCCCAAGAGTTTTGTGAGTGAGGATAACCCCTCCATTTCACAAGGTACTGAGTACGACCCTGGTGCATGCGCCTCGCCATCAGGCGTTCCACATGGAAGTGGAGCTCGCCGTGCTCATCGAGCAGAGCAGGAGGAGGCCGAGCCTCAGCTGGACTTTCGCGTCGCGAGTCGCAGCGACGTGTTCGCGCTGGAGCAGCGTGTGGGTTCTCTGAACCGGTATCTCCATGATACGACTGACGCTCTGAGTCGCCTTGCAGATGGTCTCGATGAGACGAACCACCGCGTGGACTGGTTTGAACAACCACAGTCGGTTCAGAACCGAGTCGCGGACCTTAAGCGTCAAGTCGCTCAGCTGCAAGGTCAGATCGACTTGCTGTTGCGTCTTGTGGCCCCGCCACCTGCTGTCGCTCAGCCCGCCGTGGTTCGGCCTCCCGCTGTTGCGCAGCCTGTCGTGGCCCAGCCACCGTTGGCGCCAACATCTCCGCGCTCACCTGAGCAGGGTTCTGATACGGCTTGAGTAAGCCAGCGTAGAAGCCTGGATGCGTGCGCATCTTCTTCGGAAGGTTAAGCGTATACGCTAGGCCCTTCTTGGCCACGACCTTGAACGGCCCAATGAACCGTGGTCTCAATTTTGTCTTAAAGACTGCAGACACTGCATGAGTAGGTAGGTTTTTGGCATCTAATAAAACTAGGTCTCCGACCTCAAACCTTTAATCATTGCGTCTGCCTTTGGCATCTGCATGTTCTTTTTGCATGTCTTGGCTTTCAGCCATAGCGTCGCGTACTTGACGCATTACGCTAAGTCTCAAAGGAGACAAAGTCATCGGACTTGCTTGCGAGCCGTAACAGGGCTGACATCAGCTAGCCGCTCGGCTATCCCTCCCCCATCAAGCCCTGAGCACTGCGTGGCGGCGTCAGTGGGACGCGAGGGTTAACCAAGCCGTTCACATAGAACGGAGTGTAGCCTGTCGAGGCGTGCACTGCATTATTTAATGCGAACTCAACGAGTGGGAGCATCTGGCTCCAGCGTTTTGGCGCCTCAGCGCATACGCTTCGGAGGATATCCTCCACAACGCGATTCACGCGTTCGGTTTGACCATCGGTCTGCGGATGGTCCGCTGTGGACATGTCCAAACGAGTGCCAAGCACTCTGAAGAGGGACGTCCAGAACTTCGCGGTGAAGCGCGGGTCTCGATCCGAGACAATTGCCTCAGGCAAGCCATGTTGGCGAAAGACTCGGTCTAAAAACAGCAAAGCTGTACCTTCACCATCTATGGTGTCCGGCACCGCCGCTAGATGAGCCATCTTGCTCAATCGGTCTACAAAGACCACAATACCCGTGTTTCCTGCCTTTCCCTTGGGAAGGCCAAACACAAAGTCCATACTCATGGACTGCCAGCATCCCTTGGGGACAGGCAAGCTCGCCAATGGCGCTGCCGTGCTCGGCGCGGACTTCGTCCGTTGACACGTCTCACACGTGCGTACATAGGTGCCGACCCACTTATACATTTTGGGCCACCAGTACATCGTGCTCACCGAGCCGTAGGTCTTCTCCCGACCTAAGTGCCCGCCCACGGGCGTATCATGAACCTCATAGAGGATTCGATACTTGAGATCCTCATCATGAGGAACGACTACACGAGGGTTATCCTCAGAGTCGGTGCTGTAGTACAGCAGGCCGCCATCGAGCGAGTATCGATGCAGCCTCGCGCGTAAGCGCCCAGACAATTCTTTGTCAGAGTCTTTAAACTCTTCGCTCCCGAGAGCCCGTAGCAGCGCTACGCACATGTCGTCTTGTGCATACGCTCCGCGTATCAAGTCAGGCACTGACGACGTCACTGTCGTGACATGGGCTAACTCGTAGTCCGGCCTGCGCGAGAGCGCATCGGCCACTACATTAAGCCGCCCCGGCTTGTACTTCACCTCGAAGTTATACTCGGCAAAGAAGGAAAGCCATCTTGCCATTCTCTGAGAGAGATGAGGCGACTGTGTCGCAGTGCGTAACGACGCATGATCAGTAAAGATCACAAAAGGCTTAGAGCCTAGCAGGTGTACCCTGAATTTGACTAGAGCATACTTCATTGCAAGTAGCTCTTTGTCATGAACTGGATAGTTCTTCTCTGCAGCTTTGAGCTGGCGAGACTCAAACGCGATCACGCGTTCACGCCCTTCGGCGTCTGCTTGTAGTAAAGCACAACCGATTGCAAAATCGGAGGCGTCACAGACGACGCTAAACGGACTATCCGGGTCCGGCAGCGCAAGGATCGGAGCCTGGAGAAGGCTCTCCTTCACAGCCTCAAAGGCTCCGTCGTGCTCGACGTTCCAGCACCATGGTGCGTCCTTCTTAAGGAGATCTGATAATGGCCGAGCCATCTCCGCGTAGTTCGCACTGTACTTGTGCAAGTAATTGGCTAAGCCTAGCCACTTGCGTAAGTCTTTTTGGTTCTTGGGAACCGGCCAGTCCACGATGGCCTTGACTTTGGCAGGATCTGCCCGTAAGCCACGCTTCCCAATGAAGCACCCGAGGAAAGGTATCTCCTCCGCGC